CAGCTCGTCAAAATGAACCTTCTGATATACTACGCTTCCTATGGGCGAAGTTTCCGGCCAATCCATGATGATCAATATTTTGGCCAAAACCCGTCGGCGAGCTTCAGAGCCTAAGAACGAGAAAAAATCAAAGGGCCTGAATTCGTCGGAAACTTGCGCATAGAGGTTATTTGACCTGCTGATCACGAAAAACACACCTGCTTTGCAAATTAGCGCCTTACTGTATGGTTACGGTAGCCAAAATTTGAAAGACATAGATTTTTCCAAAATTCATCGACCTATCTTTCTCTGCGCAAAAGGGATCCTCCGCTGCTCGCTAGCGCATAATAATCTACGGAAACAGCTCTACTGGTCATGTTTACTAGAATCTTCCTTGTGTGTTCTTCGTTGAGTTACACCGCTACGAACACCCGTCCTCACAACACACAAAATCGAGCAAATTGAAAACGGACCGGTAAGGAAGCGTAGTATATCAGAAGGTTCATTTTGACGAGCTGAACATCATACTTTCGTCGGATTCCTAGTTTATGCAATCTGAAGAAAGTTATGAACAAAGGACGAAAAAAACGCGGATCGCCAGTTTTTGCTTTTCTGTCGAAAAATTAGTGTGGGTACTGTAGTTTGCGCGATTCGCGTGATTCCGCAGAAATCCCGGAATGTTCAAAACTCCCAGAACGCTGCGGACTTTCGCAAAACCTCCGGAATCACGACACAAAGAAAATCTGCACATTTTGTGAGCTATTGTAGATAGCAAAAAATAGAGTAGAGCATAGGAGAGTTCATAAAAACTTCGGTACGGAGGCAACCGCCCATGTACACGCATCGTTCACGGGCGTGTGGACTCTGGTGAAAAGATGCTCGAGCACGCCGTTTGTGCCGTTTCGCACCTTAGACCGATCGCCTTCGTGGATCTGGGTCTGTATGTCCATACGCAGAAAACAGAATTGTTCAGCTCATTGTTGAAACTCTTGTTGACAGGCGACTCGGTTCATTCACAATTTATTGAGCGGTGGAGTTTTCTGAAGAAAGAGCAACGTTTCCAAAGAGACGGTGTCATGCTCATAGCGATCAATCGATTGCTGCAGTGAGGGATCTGTCTACCGCACCGAATGCGCAATTGAATTGAAAAAGCCTGTAGATCAAATACTGTAAGAGATGAAGCGATAAAAACTCGCACAGCGTTTTCTAAACTACATTTTTTACCGTATGTCAGAAAAGATCAATTTTGTGATATCATCAGTGATAAATGATAAAATGATGATATCAGTGACAACGACAGATAAGCATGGCTTAAATTCATGCGGTCGATTCCCACGTTCATCTTCCATGTAGGTGCAGAATTTTAGCCCAGGCTTCGGCGTGAAGCGAGTTGAAGCAAAAACGCCATTTTAGGTAAGAATTGGCAGCAGTGGCATGTGCCGATGAGAAATCGATCGATTGCTGGAGCGAGGGATCTACCAACCTGCACCGAGCAATAGAACTAGAAAAGCCTGTAGATCACTTATAATTAGAGAAAGAGCGATAGAAATTCACTAAGCGTTTCCTACAGTACTTTTCTTACCATACGCCAAAAATGATCCAAAAATGTGATATTATCAGTGATAAATGATAAAATGCTTATAGTGAGTAATAAGGGTGAATAAAAACTGCCCAACTTTTCGCGATAGTTTTCGATAATGAAAACTTTGTACCAGAACCTGCTAATCGCGATTAACGCTGTGATAAATGTTCACAAAAGCCTTAACATAGAAAACAACAAGGTATCATTGTATGTCACCCCGTCACCACGATTACGGACATACTGTATATGAAAAGATTCGTCTCATCAAGCTGAAGCCGCATCTTCTTGCAGATTTCATATAAAATT